CTCGGCAGGGGCGCCCCTGACCTCCAATACGTTCGTTTTCATGGAAGCCTCTCTCAATCAAGATGCGTTGGCGGATCAGCGGCAAATCCCACCAGACCTTGGGGCGTGAGTGGTCGAGCGAGTTTCCTCTTTCAACCCTCCTGCTTCCCCTTCGAGGATGAGTTCGCCCCTGCCGCTACTCCCCTGGGACTGGAGGGGAGGGGCCGCGAGATGTCAGAGTGTTCAATAAGGTCTCAGCGAGACGGCAAAAATTACTGATGTTCCTCAGGTTTTGAACTAATTTGTGCCTCCTGGGGGGGGACCTAATTAAGTCCCCCGCCTTCTTCGATCGAACATCTCCAAGATGGCCCCAAGGCTCCTGAGAGTGCCCCAAGAGGCGCCCAGGACGCCCGAGGCTCCCAAGAACCCCCCAACAGACCCCAAGAGGCTTCCCCGAAGCACCCATGCTCCAAGAAGCCTCCAGGACCGCCAAGAGGACCCCTAGAGGCCCCAAACGGACTCCAAGAAGCTCTCAAGATACATCCGAAGGGACTCCGAGAGGCATCCACGAGACCTCTGGCGCTTCTGCTCGCCCTCCTCCTCCTCCTCCTCCTCCTCCTTCTCATCTCTCCTACCCCCCCTATCCTCTTTCTCCTCATTCTCCTCATCCGCCTATTCCTCTTTCTCCCTCCTCCCTCTTTCCCCTCCTCCTCCTCCTCCTCCTCCTCCTCCTCCTCCGCCTCCTCCTCCCCCTCCCCCTCCCCTTCCTCCTCATCCCGCTCCTCCGATTCCTCCTTCATCCTGCCCTGCTTGGATTATGACGGATTCCCCAGCCCTTTATTCCACTGCATGCTCCTCCACACAGGAGATCAGGGCAACTCACATGGACATCATTTCTGGATGGGCTGGTGGGGGTACGCGAACTGTCTAGCTGACTAAACAACTGGCGGCAACTGACGGCAACTGACTAGCTGCAAACAACGACACACACCCCGTTTCAACCGTTCACCAATCACCCCCTGTTCGCCGCTGGCAGCTGCGAAACGCAAAAATGAAAACCTTCAGATGAATGCAAGTTCGAAGCTTCCAAAAAAACGACCTCCAGCTTCAAGCACTTGTCGAACTGCTTGAGCTCCTCGGGCGACGGCATCTCCGCTGTCTTCGCCGCCACGCTCAGCGCCGCCTCCAGCTTCGCGGACGGCCTGAGGACATGGTGGGCGGCCCCTCGCGACCGAATGCGGCCCGTGCAGAGCGCCAGGTGCTTGTCGCACTGGATTCGCGACAACTGATCGCCCCTTTTGGGGGAACGGAAAGGTACCGGCACTAGAGAATAGGAACACCACCCTCGTACTGAATATCCAGACAAGCGAAGCCGTCTAGTCAGCACATCCACAGAAGGAATCGAACAGGGCGGGGCTGTTGAGTAAACGCCCAAGGCCGTTTCGCAAACGCCAATAAAAGACGGGGTTCGGATGGTGTCTCTTCCCTTGGGACACCCTTGCCAGAAATGGGGGACGGGCGGGCAAGCCCGTCTTGGGGAGACCAAAGCGCATCGACACCGCTACTCCCCGGACCTCTCCCAATGTGCCTTCTGGCCAGAATCTCAAGACGAATCCATCTGTGGCGACGAAGGCCCACCCAGAGGCCCCCAATGACGCAAAAGACAGAAGGCGGCGGCATCGTTACCGTTTTCCTCCTCAGACCTGTAGCCGTAGTAGTCGTCCTCGTGGTAGAACTCCACGAGCAGGGTCCGCCCGCCCCGGCGCGCCCAGTGCAGCCGCTTCGTGGCGGCGCGCATAGGGTGGTAGGGGGGAAGGGGGGAAGGCTTCTTGGAAGGAGGCTGCTTCTTAGAAGGCGCGGGCCCTGTCAACAGATGTAGGGCAGGCGCCTTCGAAGCAGCAACCTTCTTCAAAAAAACCTTCCCCCTCCCCCAGCCCCCCCGTGCGCGCCGCCACGCTTCAGCTCGTGCAGCACGTCGCGCCGGTGCTGCCGCGTCGTGCTATCCGGGCGCGCCGAGAACGGGGGACCAAAAGGGTGGCGCGAGGGGGGCGGCCTTCTGAGAAGGCGGCGGGGTTTCTTAGAGGGCAGAGGCAGGCAGGCAGGCAGGCAGGCAGGCAGGCAGGCATGCAGGCAAGCAAGCACCCCGTGGCGGACAGGAACACATCGCGGGGCCCGGGTGGTAGGCGCCGCGGTGCCTCAGTACACGGTGTTCTGCTCGCGAAGGCCTCTTCCAGACGGCCCCATGCCCTTGCGTCATCAGCGCAGGCAAGCCATCCGGGCCGCTTCGTATCAGACTCAGATCTGCGATCTCTGAAGAAACCGGACCTGACAAGAACGGGAAGCGAATGTTCGAACGTTCGTTGCAGGTGTGGCATCACATGGGGACGTCAAAACTGGAACGCTTGTGCGAACAGGAAGGGACTGCGCGGTGCCCGAATCAAGGATCCCTCGTAAATCCGCCGACCCTGTCGGCGTGTGTGAAGGGCTTTTTATTCCGCTTTCGTACCGTTAAGTTTGTGTTGTGATTGGTTTTGAGTTCCGTCGATCTTCCGTTCTTCACAAGCCCTGCCCAGGGGCTCTACCAATGTCCTCTTCAAGCGCGCTATCCAACTCGAAATTAAACGACGTCCACGTAGTGGAGCAGGAAAGGAAGACCTTAATTTAGATTACATTACCCGCAGGGGGGGAGGACCGAGGGGGGGGCGGGGGGGTATACGGGGGAAATTGCGAAGCCGAGAAGGGGGAGAGGACGCAACAACTAGAAGAGGGGGCAAGTGCAAGGGAGATTGAACTTCCTACTTACTAATGGTACTCATATCAACATCAACTCCTACCTGCCGGTTTTCCTCAATAATCCTCATTCCTACTCCTCTACATGCCCTCTCCTCTCTCCCTCCTCCTTCTCCTCCTCCTCCTTCTCCTCCCCCTCCTCCTCCCGCAGAGGCGTCCCGGGAGCGGGCTCCGAGTCAAAATACCACCCCCCTAGGGCGCATTTTCCTCGAGCGGGCACGCCCGAGATGCACTTCTTCCTCTTCCGGGAGCACGTCCCAAGTCAGAATATCACACTCCCGGGGCGCACATTCTTCGAGCGGGCACACAAAGGATGCACTTCCTCCTCCTCCTCCTCCTCCTCCTCCTCCTCCTCCTCCTCCTCCTCCTCCTCCTCCTCCTCCTCCGCCTGCTCATCCTCTTCCTCCTCCTCATCCTCCTCATCCGCCTCATCTTCCTCCTCCTCCCTCCTCCTGCTCCTCCTCCTCCTCTTCCTCCTCCTCCTCCTCCTCCTCCTCCGGTTCCTCCCCCCACTCCTAGCCCTTTCGATCAGGGTCGGCGGCACCAGCCGTCAGGCCTCTCCAATATACGACGCTCGCGCTCCCGAGGCGCAGATCCCTCGTAAAGTACACGCGACACGCGCCTCCGAGGCCACGACCCATTACAAAGTACTCTGAGTTCATGCCTCGGCGACCAGGACCCACAGAAGTGCAGCCAGATTCACGCCCTGGAACAGCTATTACTTGTATTGTGCGCAAGCGGTCAGTTACCACGCGGCCCCCGCGTCCACCTTCAAGATCCCGAGCTATCCGCCGTCCCCTTGGGATCCACACGGCATGTGAGACTGGTGCCTCTCGCCAGACTCCTCCCCCGGGCACTCGGTCTGGCCGGGGGGGGGGATCCGGTTAAACGGACTAGATCCCTCCCCCTCCCAAGAATGCCCAGGATGCCTCCAGCCGTCTCCAGCCACTCCAAGATGCTCCAAGACGGCCCATTATATTTTGAATACGACCGGAGATAACCCCAAGACGGTCCAAGAAGCCTTTAACATGAAGCCCTCTTGGATCCCTCTGGCGCCGTTTTCGGGCCCTCTTGAGCTGTCTTGGGGCTGTGTGGCGCCGTTTTCGGGAGGAGATGGAATATCAATCTAGTGACCTTCGGTCCATCCCGCCACCGTGCCAGGGTATTGAGAATGAGACGAAGTGAAAGTTCGTTGGGCTCTCTTGGGAGGCTTCTCGCGGGCCGTTTTGGGTCCTCTTGGGGCCTCTTTTGGATCTCTTGGGGCGTCTTTGGGGCCTCTCGGGGGCCTCTTGGGACCTCTTGGGCGCCTCCTGGGGCCTCCTAGGGCCGTCTTTGGGCGGGATGCTCCGATTTTCGATTCGGGCTCTCCCTCTTGGGCCCCTCTTGGGGCCCTCGTGGGCCTTCTTGAGAGCCTCTTGGGCCGTCTTGGCGCCCTCTTCGGCCGTCTTGGGCGCCTCTTGAGAATCTCTTGGGCCGTCGCGGGTCGGTCTTGGGGGACTCTTGGACCGTCTTCGACGCCGTGAAGACGAGAAAATCGTATATGATACAAAAATACGTTTCCCCATCGGAATTGGACGATTTTGGCCTCTTGGGCCCTCTTGGGAGTGCTCTTGGAGGCAATGGGGCCGTCATGCGGGCCCTCTGGAGCCGTCCTGTGGCCTTCTATGGACCCTCTTGGGCGCTCCAAGAGCGATCTGAACACAAAGGCGGCCTGGAGCCAACGCCAACTCAATTTTTTAGAGGATGTCCTGAGCGAACCTGCCAATTGAGAAACCTTTCCTGACATGAACGGGAAGCGCGTGAAAGGGAAGAGTTGCGCAAGAACTTGCAGCATCATCGCGATCAAATGTAGTACAGGCGAGCTCTCCGAACGCTCACAAGGGATACGTATTGACACGCGCCCCCCGAACGTTCACAAGCATATTCCTGAGTATCCTCACCACTCCTCCGCATGAGGAAAACGACGGCGAAGACGACGACCGGGAAGAAGGGATAGGAGGAGGAGGAGGAGGAGGAGGAGGAGGAGGAGGAGGAGGAGGAGGAGAGGAGGAGGAGGAGGAGGAGTAGGAGGAAGGAGGAGAAGAGGAGGAGGAGGAGAAGGAGCAGCATCAGCAGAGAGCAGCAGAAGAAGGAGGTGAGGAGGAGGCGGGTTATTTTTTTTAGGAGGACGACGAAGAGAAGGAACAGGAGCAGGAGGAGGGGGAAAAGGAGGAAGAAGAGGAGGAGGAGTT